TTTCTTTCTTTCTTTCTTTCTTTCTTTCTTTCTTTCTTTCTTTCTTTTTCTTTTTTTTTATGTATACAATATTCTGTCTGTGTGTCTGCCTGCAGGCCAGAAGAGGGCATCAGATCTCATTTTAGATGGTTGTGAGCCACCATGTGGTTGCTGGGAATTGAACTCAGGACCTTTGGAAGAGCAGGCAATGCTCTTAACCACTGAGCCATCTCTCCAGCCCCAAAAAGTAAGCCCTTTCTGACAGGTGATGACATTATGAAGTGGCTGAGCAGGGAGAAGATACTAAGGGACAAAGACAAAGGCCTGGGCCATCACACGGCCTATGGGCACATCTACAGACACACAGGGGAACTGTAAAGAACACAGCAAGGTAGGCACAGTGGCATGGTTAGAGTGCAAAGAAAGGAGCACAAGGGAAGCAAACTGTACCCTGCAGGAACACACACTCTCCTCTTCAGCTCCCAGTGGTACCCTAACGAGAAGCTTAAGAGCACCCCTACAAAGACCCTGCAGGTGGATATGAGAAAGGAGAGTGAGGAACATCCTCACAGGCTCCCTGCTTGCAGCAAATACCAAAACGGAAACTGGGAGTCAGGCAAGTTTGGAGCCATGGCCCTGCTTGGAAAGGTCTGTCTTTCCTTATTCACCCAAAAGTCACCAGACTCATCTGCAGGTGACAAGGGGCATACTCTATACACATATAACCTGGCACCCAACAGCTCCTCATACCTCTAGACTCCCAACTGAGTAGGGTATGTTGCCCAATTTGCTTCTCAAGAAGATGCAGACACTCCTGGTGCCAGCTGAGTATGTGCCCTGCCCCAGCCAGAGAACCATTCCACACAGCCTCTGAAGCAGACGGGAAGACCACAAATGGCACCTGGGGAGAAGATGGCGGGTGTACGGCCAGCTACAGCTTCCTGGCGCTTTCTGGCAAAGTCTGAGATCTTCCAGATGAAGACTCCATCATAGGTGGATGCTTCCAACTCTGAGACCTTCTGCTCCAGGTCGGCCATGGCCAGGTCCTTGAGGCCAATGCTCCTCTCTAGTTGCTGCACCTGCAGAGCAGAGACCACTTAACTTTGATAAGGCAGGGACCTAATTGCTATATTCCATGCACCCTGAGCTCCCATTCCCACACTGCTAGCCTTTGGAAGTCTCTGGAGTCTTTTCTGTCAGGAGCTACACCCTAAATATGAGGTACATGTTCCAGTTCACTTAGAAGGCTCTGGGCCTCCATGTACCCAGGAGCTTCAGCAACCCAGCACATCACATGACTGATGCTGTCCTCCTAGGCCTCGCTAGCCCATCAAATCCTATGGCTGAGTCTCTCAGAACATAAGAATCAGAAAGCAAGAGGCCAAAGTCCAAGTCATGGAGTGTAGGAGCTCTATGCTGTACAGGCTCCAGAGATCCAGAACTTGCTATCCCCGCTAGGCACAAACCTTGTTACTCAGGGCCTCTATCTTGTCCTGGTCTAGCCGGTGCTGCCGGCTACACGCCTCTGCAGTCACTGCCACCCTCTCTACCTCCCGGTTCAGGACGCAGACAATGTTCTCGAAGGTGGCCGTCTTCTGTTCCAAAGTGTGGCACCGCTGCAGCAGCTCCGGCCCCACCTGGCTTTGGCTTCCCTGTGAGGCTGGGGACTCCAGGAATGAGTTCAGCAGCATGGCCAGGTGTTCCCGCAGCCTCTGCACCTCATGGGCCTGCAGCTCTTCAGTCTCTACCTGTGGGACAGGACAGCGTTTGTACAGAACCAGCCCAGGCGGTGCGGCACCGTGGCCACACTGCGCTGAGGGACATGTGGTTGTTATCTCCAGACAGACGCTCTCAGCTACTGCTCCAGCACCATGCCTGCCTGCTGCCAAGCTGCCCACCATGGTTGTCATGGACTCCACCCTTCTGAAACTGTTAAGTCCCAAATAAACTCTTTCTTCTAAAAGTTGCCTTAGTCATGGTGTCATTACACAACAATTATAAAAAGTAACTAAGATACAACTAAGTATTTTCAAACTTGTGCACACAATTTTTTAAAGTGGTGTACTTATTTTTATTTTGTGCACATTAGTGTTTTGTCTGCATGTATGTCTGTGTGATGGTGTCTGATCCCCTGCAATTGAAGTTACAACAGTTGTGAGCTGCCATATAGGTGCCAGGAACTGAACCTAGGTCCTCTGGAAGAGCAGCTAGTGTTCTTAACCGCTGAACCATCTCTCTAGCCCTTTGTGTAAACAATTTTAAGAAGTTAGACTTCAAAATTACAATAATATCATTACACTGTATGCTAATTAAGAAAAATAAAAAGGCACAGTGGCAAATGCTTTCAATTCCAGCATTCAAAAGGCAGAGACAGATGGATTTCTATGAGCGCAAGGCCAGCCTGGTGTACATACTAAATTTAAGAACAGCCTGGACTACATAGTAAGAATCTGTTTCAAAAACAAAAACAAAACATCAAAAATCAAAACTCAAGCCCAACCTAAAATAAAACCAAGGTTGGCAAGATGGCTTAGCATGTAAATGTGCTGTCACCAAGCCTGATAACCTGAATTTAACCCCTGGGACTCATATGCTGGAAGGACAGAACCAACTCTGAAAGCTGTCCATTGGTTTCATATGGATTCCAGGACTTACACACACAAACACACAAAATGAATGTAATAAAAACATTTACAAAACATAAGTAAAAAAACACCAAGACACCTGAGTCCCAGTTGGAGGCACAGGCACCTGGATGACAGGAGGCCCAGCAGGAAACACCTCACAGGGCAGGAGGCAGCTGGAACTAAGATGAACACAAAAGGACATGCCATCTGCTCAGTGGCTTCTCCTGCAGGGGCCAGCATGGTCACCACAAAGCTAGAGCTTTGTGAACTGAAAAGGCCCAGGACCAAGGTGACAGCAACTCGGCTACTACCTTCTGCAGGGAACTCAGTTGTTTTGAAATGGAGGTAGCAACTATCCCCACCTCCAACAGAAGAGGAGAGAGATGCTGTGTCACCAGACACCATATCCTCAGCTTGCCTTCTCTTACCCTTAATGTACACACCCTACAGGCCCTTTGGACCAGCACATGGTCATGAGTCACGGTGGGAAACAATGTCCAGGGGCTCCCACTGTACAGATAAAGAGGGACAATAAATGGAGAAATAGCTTGTGCAGGATGAAAGTGAGGGAGGGGCAGGTCTGCACGAACAGAGGGGCACATGTGGACAGGGACCTGTGGAGGCCAGAAGGAGTCCTCAGAAGCATAGCAAGGCAAAGGGTTAGGGTGGGGAGAAGTCAGCTTCTTCAAGGATAGCCAGGTCAGTGACCAGGGCAGAGGCCAGCCGTCTTGGGAGAGAGAGACTATGGTAACTGTGAATTAAATTTTGAGGGGCCACAGGAGGATCTGGTCAAGTCATATCTTGCTTTAACAGATCAGAGCAGCAGAGCGGTCAGAAGGTGCCCAACCAACACAGGAAGCCTGTCTCCAGCAGATGATGAAGCAACAAGACAGGAGTTGAAGGGACAGGAGCCATCTGCCAACAGCCGAGGATTTATTATTATTTATGTGAATATGAGACAAGAAAAGGATCTTGCAGACCACGACGCACTGGGGCTTTAGCCAGACAACTGAGGCTTTTTTTCCCTTGGGAAAGATGGGAAGAGGGTGGAGAACAAGGAACTAGAAGGTCAAGGTGTACTTCTTTTTTTTTTTTTTAAATTTTATTTATTTATTTATTTATTAAAAATTTCCACCTCTTCCCCGCCTCCCTTTTCCCTCCCCCTTCAAAGTGTACTTCTAAGGTGTCCATCAGATATCATGTCAGAAGGGAGGCTCATGTCAGAAGCATATATATTTAGGTATTCTCAGAGATAGGTAGTGATCAAAGCCACCTAGAGATTTTCATGGAGTAAGCCTGGACACCTGAGGGCAGGAAGAAGGATTACTGAGAGATAGTCAGGGGAGATACCAGAGAGGCTGAGGAACCTAGGAGATGCCAAGGCTGGAGACAGGTTAGCATAACAGAAAGACCCAGCCAGGTCCCTAGCCCCTAACAGCAGACTTACCATCTCAGAACAGCCCACGGTGTGGAATCTGCAGGGAACCCGACACTTGTTGCATGCTCTAACATGGTCCTGAAACTGAAGGATCAGGAGATAAAGTTACCAGCGTCATTGTCATTACTAAGGGTCTCCCCCTACCTCACTTGGGCCATTTGCTTAATGTACTGATCAATTCAGAATTAACAAAAGAAACCACTAGTGGCACCCTACGGGCCTAAAACAAGCCTCTTCCACTGTTAGTCACTGGGAAGCAGACATTTCAGGACTGCTGTGGAAAAGTCTAGCTCCTGGTTTTGGGTGAAATCCATGCCACACAGAAAAAAAGCCAGCTGTTATGTCTGTCAGGCCTTTTTTCTTTTTTTTTTTTTTTTTGCTTTTTTGAGACAGGGTTTCTCTGTGTAACAATCCTAGCTGTCCTGGAACTAGTTCTTGTAGATCTCACAGAGATCCACCTGCCTCTGTCTCTTGAGTGCTGGGATTAAAGGTGTACGCCACCACTGCCCAGCACTTCTGTCAGTCTTGAAAGTAGACAATATTGAATACCTGGGCCTCAGGTAGAACATTCAGATTCATAAGCATAGAGCGTAAAAACAGGCCAGTCCTTTGTGTTATGGAGGGACAGGACAGGGCAAAAGGACTACTGATGAACACATGAAACCTAAGCACACACTCCACTGAACACAAACATTTCACACACAACCAAGGCCACATGTCTGGCAAGGGAAGGAGAAAGACCACCTCTTTGAGATCCAGTGAGGGTAAGGAGTTATTTTTTTTCACCTACCATTCTAGGCAGCAAGCATGGTCAGGCTTGCCCTGTGAAAAACTCAACATAAAAAAAAAGAGAGTGAAGGAGGCTGGAGATGGCTCAGAGGCTGAGAGCACTGGCTGACTTTCCAGAGAACCTGGGTTCAATTCCCAGCACCCACATGGCGACTCATAACTGTTTCTAACTCCAGTTTCAGGGGATCTGAAGCCCTCACATATATACACATGCAGGTAAAACACCAATGCATATGAAATAAAAATAAATACATCATTTAAAAATAATAAGCCAGGCATGGTGGAGCACACCTTTAATCCCACCACTTGGGAGGCAGAGGCAGGTGGATCTGTGAGTTCTAGACCAGCTTGGTTACAGAATGAGTTCCAGCTAGGGCTATACACCAAAAATTTTACTATTTGGAGTCCCCATGGTCATTTGTATTTAACTAAAATATAAACTACTTATTTCCTGGTGGTGAGAGGTATATTTTTTTGTCAACAAGAAGGAAGCCCAGCTCAACGGTAGAAAGTTTGCTTGGTAAGCATGAAGCCCTGAATCCAATCCCAACACTACATGCCCCCCCCACTCCCAAAAAAGGAACTTGCCAATCGTAACAACACAAACCATGACTGTGTGTGTATACCTACAATCCTAGTACTTGGGAGTTGGAGGCAGGAGGATCAGGAGTTCAACGTTATCCTTTGTTACACATTAAGTTCCAGGTCAGCCAGGGCCACAGGAAACCCTGGTAGGGATGGGGGTAGGGGAATGCCAGACAGGGTGAAACGTGCCTTGAAGGCAAATCCATGACTTTAAGGCCAGCCTTGTCTACATAGCAAATTCTAGGCACCCAGGGATATATAATGAGACCCTGTCTCAAAATAAATGAATGACAAAAAAAAAAAAAATCCAAATGAACATTGAAGGATTAGTCACTATGCCCCAGAATATGCCCATTAAGGTGATAGCAAGTAAGTCTCACTTTGTGGCTATTCTCCCTTTGGGAAGCAGGTCACAAACTATCCCGAATGACAGACCTTCACCACTGGCCATCAGGTCTAGCACCCATGGACTTCAGAAAATGGAAGGGATTGCTTTACCTTCTCCCGAGAGATCTTCTTCTTGCCACAGCCATCACAGGTTAAGGGGAACTTAGGGCAGACCTCATAGTGCACCTAAAAGAAAAACAGACACATTAGATGGGGATGCCAACACCAGGACAGGGCAGTGAAGGAGAAGGAGGCGGGGACACATGAACTGCTCAAGACAACAGCCAGCATCTAGGAGGATACTGATGTACGCATGGCTCCTCAGATCCTCTCTGAAGCCGTGTTTAACACTGAATGAGATTCTGTAGGCACCCTTACAAAATCAGACTGCAGGACTTTCTTCTTCCTCTACAGCCTCCAGAGAACACAAGAAAGAAGAGAACAAAGGGTCTACGTAGAGACAGAATGACTGTGCAGGACTTCCACAGAACCAGACTAGATTATCCTCATGTGGCCCCACAGCACAGCCAGATTACCTTTTAGAGAGACCCTGATATGCTACTACAGAGTGCCCAACATCAGATGACTGTCTGGCCTGATCATACAACAGAGGAACACAGTGCCAACACCAGGATGTGGAGAGCAAACACAGCAGGCAACTGAGAAAGGACTGGAAAAAGAGATACTGATGACCCTGACTCCAACAGAAGTGAACAGTCTCACAGCGAGAATGCGGACAAGCCAGAAAGTGACAGAGCAAATACTGTTAAATTATAGATATGTTCTGCCTTGGACGTGTCCCCCAGAGATCTCCACACTAAAGGCTTAGTCCCTAGCATAGGTGTGCATGTGATATAATCCAAAAGGTGTGGCCAAATGAAGATTCTAGGGCCACTGGGAACATGCCCTCAAAGGGGAAACGGAGTCCCTTACTCTTTCTTTCTTTTTTTTTTCTCTTTTGTTTGGTTTTTCAAGACAGGGTTTCTCTGCAGCTTTGGAGTCTGTCCTGGAACTAGCTCTTGTAGACCAGACTGGCCTTAAACTCTGAGTCCCTTACTCTTTCTTTTTTTCTTTTTTCTTTTGGTTTTTCGAGACAGGGTTTCTTTGTGTAGCTTTGATGCCTGTCCTGGAACTAGCTCTCTCTCTTTTTTTTTAATATTTTTATGATTTATTTATCTTTTTATTTTTATGTGCATTGGTGTGAAGGTGTCAGATCCCCTGGAACTGGATTTTCAGACAGTTGTGAGCTGCCATGTGGGTGCTGGGAATTGAACCCGGGTCCTCTGGAAGAGCAGTCAGTGCTCTTAACCTCTGAGCCATTTCTCCAGCCCCTGGAACTAGCTCTTATAGACCAAGCTGGCTTCGAACTCACAGAGATCCCCCTGCCTCTGCCTTCTGAGTGCTGGGATTAAAGGCGTGTGCCACCACCACCTGGCGCCTATCACGTACTCTAAAATCAAGATAAACCTTCTCTCTTTGGAAAGAGATTATCTCAGGCCCTTGTGAAGGCCGTGGCAAACTGTTACTGATAATCCCAAACCCCCACAGACGAAATGACACAGTCAAGACTTGCTGATGGAGGAGTGACACACAGCTGGTTAGTCACAGTGCTGCTTCCTCTACCTGCTGTGCTTCAAATTTTCTTGAAAGACACATTTTTCTTGTTTGGGGGAGGTGGGGTCCTGAGTACTGGGATTATGAGTTAACTCACGCAATTGTAAACACTTGAAACTAGCCAAGCGGTGGTGGCTCATGCCTTTAATTTCAGCACTTGGGAGGCAGAGGCAGGCGGATCTCTGAGTTCGGGGCCAGCCTGGTTCATAGAGCGAGTTCTAGAACATCCAGGGTTACACAGAGAAACCCTGTCCTGAAAAACAAACAAAACAAGAAAAGTACTTGAAATTTTTTTTCAGTCCTGTATGGTAGGACAAGCCACTAATCCCAGCACCTGAGAGACAGAGTCAGGAGGATCTGCGAGTTTGAACCTGGTCTACACAGCAGATTCCAGTCCAACCAAGGCTACAGATGAGAACCTGTCTCAAAACATACATGTATATATTTCCAGATTTATTTATTTTATATGTATGAGTGTTTTGTCTGGTAAACCATATGCTTGCCTGGTGCCCACATAAGTCAGAAAAGGGCATTGGATCCCTGGAACTGGCGTTATGGATTACTGAGTCATCATGTGGGTGCTGTGAACTGAACCCAGTTCCTTTAGAAGAGCAACAAGTACTCTTTACTGTAATCACATACCGAAGCCAAGTCCCACCAAGGACCTTCTAACCCCCATGGCACCATGGAAACCCGTATAAAGAAGAAGCTAAGCAAACTCCACCTATGGCAGCAAACTCTAGCTGAATGCCCAGGTTATAGACACTGCCACCCAGGCTGTACCCGCCAGCGCACCTCCAGGTCTTCACGGCTACAGGGTGCCTTGCAGTGCTGGCAGCTTAGGCTCCTTTTGGGGCATTCCTGCTCAGTGTGACGCTCCTTCTCGCTGAGGCGGATCAGGCCTTTACATGCAGGACATTCGGTAAGCAGGAATGGGCATTGTCCTTCATGGCAGCTCTGCAACAAAAGGAGGTATATGAAGATAGTATGCAGACCCTGCGGGTAGCTGCTGCATGTGCAAGTTGCTTGGAGTTCCATGTAATCCTGCCCACCTCCTCAAGATTGCTCACTATGCAGACGCAGGTCAGTATACCCTCTTCCCACTTTCAGAAAGCAGGGATGCTGACTCCTAGCTGTACTAGACTGAGCTGCTCCATTGCAGCTGGTCTCTGTGTGGGTGGTACCCCAAGGATACTTTCTTCTTCAACTATGCATCCATGACACCCACCCCTCCCTGTGTCAGCTCCCAACTAAGTAAGTACATTGTTCTCCAGTATATAGACAAACACACAGCGGGGCCATGCTGCAGATCTTGCCAGTTCTGACCTCGTCACTGTTACAGTGGAGGTGGGAGACGAAAGACAAAGAAGAGAGACAGAGATCGTGTGAAAGTAGCTACATGGCTCCCAACACCTGCAGCTCTGGGCATGGCTACCTAGCGAAGGCCTAACGTACCACATAAATAGCCAGGCCAAGATGTTGGAAGGCCAGCCTAGAGCCAGCTGTTATCAATGAACAGGATGTACATCTGAGATCTATGCTGTGAAGGGCCAGACTGATCCACAAGAGACTACCCTGGACCCCAGCCCAGCACACTGAACAGGAGCAAACCATGACATAGATGCACTGTGCCTCCCAGTCGACCAAAGAGCAGTAATACAGGGACATCCTACCTATAAACCAGGAGAGACAGGGCAATGAGCAAGTCCCCGGTTAAATGCTTTTCTTTATATGAGTTCCCTTGGTCATGCTGTCTCTTCGCAACAATAAGACACTAAGACACACAGTTCCCAGAGAAACATAGCATAGAGGTTGTCTAAGCTATCTTTTTGTTTTCCCTTCCTGAATATATATTTTTTTCAGGGAGGATGCAGGTTGAGACAGGGTTTCTCTGTGTAGCCTTGGCTGTCCTAGAACTGTCTCTTTAGACCAGGCTGACCTCAAATTCAAGAGATTCGCCTGCCTCTGCCTCCCAAGAGTTGGGATTAAAGATGTGCGTCAACCACACACATCGAGACCCTACGTTGACCACATAGGTCAGTACAGGAAGCACACTCAACACTATGCAGCCTCCACTGTTCATTCATAAAACTGTCACCTTTCTAAACACTAACTCCCTCTCCATTAATAGATACCTCCGCCTCTGGAAATTTTTACCCCACTGCCTCTGCTATGGACTCGCCCCCCTGGACCTGGCTCATCTCACTGAGCTCACAGAAGAAACAAGAGGAAAACTGCCAGGAGAAGGTTAAGTTAAGTTCCTGAGGCTGAAGGCAAGTCCAGAGCAGGGCAGGAGGACCATCAGCCAGGCCATCAAGATGTAGGCTGCAGCTCAGAGTCTGTTCTGAGAGGACGGCGCGAGGAGCCCTCATTCAACCCCCAGGAAGAGGCGGGATTCTAGACAAGGAAAGGCATGCTAGGTCTGAAAGCTGGGCACCCCCACAACAGGACACACAGGAACACAGATGTGCTATGTGCCACGCTCCCATAACTCCTGGTTATAAAAAGCAAAAAGAGGGGCCTCGGGAGGAGTTACTATGCTGTAACAGTTTACAGAGCATAAAAACTAAAGCACAAATAGTTACAATTTAGCTAAGAGGCTCTATACGACTTAGGGCTGCGGAGATGGCTCAGCTGAATAGAGCAGCGTACTCTGCAACCCCAATGTTGGGAAAACAAAGCTAAGGTAAGATGGCTAGCCAGCCTAGCCTGACTGGTGAGCTCCAGGTCAGTAAGAAACCCTTTCTCAATAAAGAAGGCGGCTCCTGAGGAACAACACCCAAGGCTGACCTCTGGCTGTCCTGCACAGGTACATACACACCCATTCACACACAAATAAAATACTCAAAGCTGTACATATGGGAGTAAAAAGCCTAGAATGCACAGTCCTGGATTCAACCCTCTATACTAGAAAAGAAATAAAAAAATGACAAGGTAGCTTAGACTTGCTTTGACACAATCCCCATGGGAAACAAGGGTGACGAGCCAGCTGATAGCCTGGTGGGCACCAGGGAGCCCAGCAATGACTTGCCTCAAAGTTGCCCTATGTTTTTGAGATAGGATCTTAAGCAATTTGTTCTTGACCACAAACTTTCTATGTAGCTGAGGATGGCCTTGAACCTGTAATCCTGGGCTGGGAATGTGGGAATGGCTCAATAGTAGAGTATGTGCTGTGTTTTTTTTTTTTTTTTTCTTTTTCGAGACAGGGTTTCTCTGTCTTCTCTATCTTAACAGCCCTGGCTGTCCTGGAACTCACTCTGAAGACTACAAAGACCCGCCTACCTCTGCCTCTGAGTGTTGGGATGAAAGTCATGTGCCACCACCGCCCAGCCCAGTATGTTCATGGCCCTGGGTTCAATGCCCGCATGAGTGCTTCAATTTCCAGCTGAATTCAGGTCCTGAGAATGACCTGAGTTGGAGCTCACTGACTAGTCTACGCTGGTCAGTCCCTAAACCCAGGGACCCTACTGTCTCTACTTCCCCAACACTGAGATGACGGGAGTATGCCGCCATCCTGACTTTTTCAGATGGGTTCTGGGGCAGACCAGATGCCGGTCCTCGGGTCCTGAGCTCAAACAGCCACAGGCAGAAGACACACGTGGCACCAACACACTCAGGCAACAAAGACAAAGCTCCGTTTCCCCACCAGTTCTGGCAGACACAATCCAAATGCATCAGTATTTACTCAACCAGATTTAAATTGAACATCTTAAACAAATACAGTTGACATAACTGATTTTTTTTTTCTCCAGGTTTTTGTTTGTTTTGCTGTTTTTTAAGACAGGGTTTCTCTGTGTAGCCCTGGCTGTCCTGGGACTTATTCTGTAGACCAGGCTGGCCTCGACCTCACAGAAGATCTGCCTGCCTCTGCCTCCTGAATGCTGGGATTAAAGGAGTGTGCCACCACCATCTGGCTATAACTGAATTTCTTAAGAACACATAATTGTGGGGCTGGAGAGATAACTCCAGTTAGGAGCACTTGCTGCTCTTACAGAGGACTCAGGTTCAACCCCCAGAATACACACGGGGGCTCACAACCAATCTTAACTCCAGTTCTAGGAGATCCAGTGCCACCTTTTGGTTCCTCTTTGGGCACAAGGCACACATGTGGTGTACATACACACATGCAGATAAAACACATAAAAAGATTAAAAAAAGAAAATACAATGGCCATGGACACTAGGAGACCTGCCTCCCAGTGCCAGGTGCTCCTGAGTATTTGTAGTCCTGGTTGGTCTGGAACTTACGACGCAGACACCAGGCTTGCCTAGACTTTGTCGTCCCTTGTGCGGGAAAACAGGTATGCAGTGCACGCCTTGCCTTTGAGACAGCAGATTTTAACAGCGCTGTCGATCCGTTTTCAGAACAACAGGCCTCACCATAAAGGAAAAACAAAGCTAAGGCTAAACAGGATTTTTCTCCAACTTTCCAGACATTTTAAATAATTCAAACCATAAGACAAATGTTGTAGTCACAATCTTAGTTTCCAGTAAAAAAATCAAGAAATAGATGTGTGACAAGCAAGAGACAGGATTATCTGCAAAGGTGGTAATGACTACACACAGTAGATAATTTCTGTCCTGGTCTGTGACATTTGCCACCAGTGAGAAGTTTTTATCAATAAAATCAGCTAAGGCAAAACTGTGCCTGCACTCCCACGTGACCAAACCCAACTCATCTCAGGGACTTTCCAGACCTCTCGAAGGGTGCAGCCAGGGACTTTCCAGCCTGCATGCCTGCAAAGCCACATGGCACCAAGCCCATAGCCTGGCTGCAGTCCCTAACCATCAGTCAGAGGCCCACACAGCCACTGACCTCTATTACCACAGGCCTGGGGCCACAGAAATCCCAGAGGAATCTAGAGTCTAATAGGACTGGGAACTATTTTTCACCTGCCCCAGGGGGTCTCTCAAACATCCTTGAGGGCAAAATGTTACATAGGGTCCCCGTTCCCTACACCAAATTCTCCTGCATCCACCCTACTTTCCTCGGGGCCATCTCTTTCCGAGATAGCACTAGGCATTTCACTTTAAGAATATACTGTGGCTATGGCCTGACCAGGCCCTGACACCCTGCTAGAAAATAAGACTACAGTTTCTTGTTCATCCAAGTGAAGTCCAAACTGTTCAGCTAGAAAAATGAAACCCAAAGCCCGGGATCACAAAGTGTCATCAATCAACAGGACATGGGACATGTAGCCATACACACATGGCAGAAGAGACAGGGTCTCACTAAGCAGCCCAGGCTTCCCTTGAACTCATATGGTCCTCCTGTCTCTGCCTCCCAAGAACTGGGATTATAGGTGTATCTCACCATGTCTAGCTGAGACAAAACCTTTTTGAATGTTGTTGACTGGCCAACAAAGAAGAGTGAGTAACTTGACGGACCCCAGTGGCCTACCTAATCACCTGGTCTCTGTGATGCAGGGTTAACTGAAGATGCGTAAAGGTGATGCGGGGCTCACACTAACATCCCACTACACCACACTATCTGTATACCTCCTCTGCAACTACCTGTTAGATGTCTTTCCGTGACCACATAACAAATATACCCAGTACTTGAACAATTTCCAGTGTCAACACAAATCAAAACAAGAGAACCCTTATGAGTTAGCCATGATAGTGCATGCCTTTAATCCTAGTACTCAGGAGGCAGGCAGATCTTTGTGAATTCCAGGACAACCAGGGCTACAGAGAAAGATTCTGTCTCAAAAAAACAAAAACAAAACAAAAACCAACAAACCCAGAAAACAACTAACAAAAAGAAAATCTTGTGGGTATGATATAAAACACAGGATCTCACTGACCTTAGAAGCTGCAGTTTCCAACAAAGGAGATCTGCAACCTAAGCAAATGTGATGTTACCAAGGCTAACATGGCACTAGCTCCTTACATAAGGTACCTCCAAACCTGCTGTACCTCTGGGGTAGAGCTGGAACCTGAGACATGGAAAGAAGAGACACGCTCTATGGCATAGGCCTAATCTGCACTATTTGGGTTTCAGAAAAGGTACTCTTACAAAATAAAATAAAACAAAGAGATAAAACAAAAGCCGGGCAGTGGTGGCACACGCCTTTAATCCTAGCACTCGGGAGGCAGAGGTAGGCGAATCTCTGTTGAGTTCGAGGCCAGCCTGGTCTACAAGAGCTAGTTCCAGGACAGGCTCCAAAGCTACAGAGAAACCATCTCAAAAACCAAACCAAACCAAACAAACAAAAGCAAAAAACCACAAAGGTTCACTAGGTAGGCCAGGTAAATCCTGATTCTCCTGCCTCAGCTTCCAAAGTGTTGGGACTGCAGTCATGTGGCAGCTCACTCACAGAAAGGGACACTTCTAAGGAGCAACGCTTTTTTCACATACATTAGCCAGGCCAGTTCCAGCAGGAGTAGAGAACGGCTTCTGTAAGAACTATTTTGTAGGGGCTGGAGAGATGGCTCAAAAGTTAAGAGCACTGACTGCTCTTCCAGAGGACCCAGTTGCAATGCCCGGCACGCAGATGGCAGGCAGCTCACAACTGTCTGCAGCTCCAGTAGTCAATACTCTCGCACAGACACACATGCCAGCAAATTTCAGCCACCAGGCCAAAACAGAAATGCCTTTCTACCTCATATTCTTTCAAGGTTCCCTTCCAGGTGCATCCATCATTGGGACAAACAGCTGGTAGACTCTCCACCTCCCTGCGGGCAGCATTATCTGGAAAGGCCTGGAACAGAAACATTCTTGGGTTATACCTTCTCCCAGCACCCTACTGCCTATGAAGCAACATCTAGATCAGAGACCCTACCCAAAACAACCTGGGCCATCCTCCTGAGCCAGCACACGGAGCAGAATATAACAAAGGACCAGCTAAGCCATGCTTCTGCTTCCCAATCTTTCCACCCCGAACCAATCATGAGAGGCCACTCCTCGCTCCCAACTTCTCATTCTGTTACCAATGTTACTAAACAAAATTCCTAAATATTTTCTGTTCATTTTGACTTGTTTAACTCAATACAGTGTACTTACCGAACTACTCTCTAAAATAGAAATGCCTTCTTCATACAGGCCTTCATGGACACAGGCAGCACAATTCTGAGGCCCAGAGCTAGTGGTAACAAAGGAAACAGAAAATCCCACTGCAAAATTTGCTGCAGAAATTAACTGAGCACTGTTGGCTCAGCCCGCAATCCAGCTCCACACCACTGATTCTTAATTTTTCTCATCTTTGATCAAACAAGTATGTCAACTGCACGATATTTTAAAAACTACAAATGAGAAGATTCAAATGCAGAAAAGGGTATCGTGGCTTGAACTTGCAAGTCCAACTCATTTCTTCCTTTTTTCTTTTTGAATTTGTGACTTCAGGGACCAAAGCATTTGGGAACGCAAGGTAAGTAAGTGCTTTATCGCTGAGCCTCAACTCCAGTCTCCATTTCTTTCACTTGTGAACAAGGCATTGGCTCTCTGGTGAAGCTGACACTCCAAACACATGGCAGAAACCGTGGGTGTGTTTGTCTTCCCCACATGCACTGCTGCCTTCCATACCGTTGCCACCCACCCACATGACATTCAATGCATCCACCAGAGCAGCCTAAGGGAGCTATAATCCTCACAGTGAACTTTCTTGTGCCTGTGAAACCAACAATAATGGATTATACTTAATTTCACATGTCCAAAAATAATATATAACCTATGTTTTCATTTGTGTGCAAGAATGTATGCACGTGTGAATACAGGTGCATATATGTGTATGTGTAAGCCGAGGTCAAATATCAGGTGCTCCTTCTCAGGTACCATTCACCTTTTTTCAGATAGAACTCTCACCAGGACCTAGAGCGCGCAGATTAGGCTAGGCTAAACAGTGAGCCTCAAGAATCCTCCTATCACTGTCTCCAGGCATATGATGTCACTATACACACATATTACCATGCCCAAGTTTTCACATGGGTGGAGGGGATCAAACCCAAGCCATACTGCACAGCAAGCACTTCACCATCTCTCTACTCAGTCCCACTGTTACATTTTTAATTTTTTAATTACATTTTAAAAATGTATTGTATGTGTAAACATGTACCAAGGCATTCAGGGAAAGGTCAGAGGCCAACGTGGGAATTCCCTCCTTTCACTGTGTGTGGATCACTGGGCTCAAACTCAGGGGATCAGGCTTGGCAGCAAGTGCCTTCACCCACTGAGACATCTCTCTGACTTCTGAGGTTGATTCTGAACTTACTATGTAGCCAAGAATGACCTCAAACATCTGCTTCCAGTCTCCACCTCTCAAGAGCTGGAAACAAGAACACACTATCATACCTTTCTAAGATCAATTCTAAATTCTTACTTCTTTTTTTTGAGACAAAGTCTATGTAGCCCTAGAACTCACTTGTAGAGTAGGATGGCCTTGAGCTCAGAGATCCTCCTGCTTCTGCCTCCTAAGTGCTGGGATTCTGTTTCACTATACCCAGCTACAATCAATGGCTTTAAGTGGTAAATTTTACCTTCTTAGTTTGGGCTAAGCCTCCAGAATCCAAGGAGAATTTGTACTAACAACCACCATACTAGATAGCGCAGTCTAACATCAGACCCACCCACCTGCCCCTGCCCACTCGGGCAGCATGCCATGCACACCTGAGGATGCTGTTCAGGCAGAAGGAGCAATAGCGGTGACCACACTGGGCCTGGAAGGGCCTCCGTAGGATGTTTCTGCACGCTGAACACAGGTACTTGGCTTCTAACTTGGTCCCCAGGAGGGTCTTGGAGAAGCCAGGCTGCAGCAGGTTTAGGGAGCCAGGGGGAGTCACACTGGCTGCAGCCATGTGAGTTTTAACCCCCACACACCACAAAGCCCTAAAGAAAACAGACCACATCACACCTCAATTCAGAATCCTCTAGAGCAGTGGTTCTCAACCTTCCTAGTGCTTTAACCCTTTAATATAGTTCCTCACACCATAAAATTATTTTTGTTGCTACTTCATAATAGTAATTTTGTTACTGTTATGAATTGCAAATATCTGTTTCCCAATAGTCTCAGGCAACCCTGTGAGTCTTCCACCCTCAAAGAGGTCACAACCCACAGTTACAAGAACTACCACTTCAGAGGGAAAAGGAAGGTGGTGGCGTCTACACCAGGGAGGCACATGGTGAGGTGCCTGGGTCACTACACTGATCTTGAAAGAGGATCTAAGAAACAAGATTTTAGAGTTCTGGGAAGCCTTGAAGATAAGCCAAACAAATCTCCTTCTACAAATATGGGAAGAGATGACAATAAGGTGACAAGAGACTTGATGTCACCCACAGTAACTATCCAATTCATGAGCTTCCTACTTTCTGGCATCAAATCGATCCTGGCTGGAGCACTTCCTGCAGAAACCAATAGTCAGCATCCTCCACCCTACAACCATGGTCCCTACAATGAGCATGTTCTAAGATGGCGGATGGCTTCTGAAGCATACCATAGGCTGGCAGTCCTTAGGTCCCAAACAGTGCCCTGGAGGCGTTCACCTGGGCGTGAGACACGGTCAGTCTGCATTAATCACTGTTCCCTGCTTGATATCAGTTCTCCACGCACTGCACTGAGCCCACAGCCTGCAGAGCCCCTCCCTCTTCATGTCACCTGCCATCCTCACCAAGACGCTTCACTCACAGCCAACTAGAGCCCATTTCTCTTCCCTCCTCTAAACATCACCCGCCATACCAGAAGAACTACCCCTGCCTGCCCCACCCTGTTTTCCTCTTCTCCAGCCCCAGGCTCCTCCCTCATCCTCCAGCACAGCAGCCTCCACTGGGTTCCCTCTCAACTCCCAGAGTAAAGTCAGGCCTTCGGCTTCCCCATTTTCTCAGGTAGCACTCTGGGAGCCCTCACACTCAGGAGCCCAGGAAAAGAGGCCTACCCAGGCTGAGGCAGGTGTGAAGAGGCCTGGACTACCTGAAGTAGCAACCTGCTACCTCTACGTCTTCCAGCGGCCTCTCGTACCTGGAGTACACCATTTTCCAGTGACAACCTCCTTGCGTATCTCCATGTCCAAAGCAGCCTAAACGTTGAGGGTAGCTGCTAACCATACTTTCTGCCAAACAGGGTTCCTCAGCCTCTGAGAAGAGTGTGGGAAGACCGCTGGCTCTCACTCAGAAGAGCAGGCCAGTCCCAGTGAGGGCAAAGAAGTCTGGGGTATGGGGTGGGAGGACACGGACCTCCAGGGTCTTAGCTGCCAAGATCGGGTTCAGTTTCAGAAGCTGAGCTTAAGGAAGAAGTGGGTTACGTGCCCTGGGATGCAGACTAGGAAGTGTGTGGTATCAGAGATGTGCTGAAGGCAGGGAGGCCATAGCAGCAGGAGCATCAGCATTTCCAGAGTCCTCTCTTCCCAGCAAAATCCCAGTCATGTTTCATTTAACAAATTGCCTCTCAGAATCATTCCCACATTTAAATACCAGAGGCAATTCCCAGGCTCCAGGAACAATGGCAGCACTGGCCCCACTGACTTGCCTGCCCTCCAAGCCTTCGGCACTCACATCCCGGCATGCACACGGCCCTATCTAGCAGTCAAAGAACTGGTGGAAGGCTACAGTGAGAGAAACAGAGTGTGGGTCTAGTTCCACAGCCTGAGTCACTTGGTTCTAGGTCTACTGGCCAGTCTGCCAAGACACCCCCCCCCCCCCCGCCCAGCCCACTGCACTCGGGGTTACTTGCTGCTCACCAGGGACACATCAAGCCCACTCCTTGCCCAACCCTTGGCCAATCCTGCCTCGTCTGGTGGACACCCTGCCCTGTTCTCCTTCACACCGATCCCAAACACCACCACCACAGTGTCGAGCCACACTCAGAAGTGAGACAACTGTAAACCACTCCACTGGCCATGCCCTGACCCCACTGCTTCCGACTGCTCCCAACCACTCCAGCCCTAGGCCCTTCTTCAAACACAATGTCACTGGCCTCTGCTGGTAGTCGGGTGCTAGAGCCCCAGGCACCAACAGGACATGCGGGGATACACACCAGCGTGGCTTTCATCGCAGCAGTCATTAAAAGATGACTGCTACTTACAAGCAGCTTACTTGTAGTGTGGACCTCGATTCTGATTACACATACTAAAACAATCCCACGTCATTCACAATGCTCCAGTGACAGCTGCCATCTGTCACCTTCTTCTCATTCAACAACTGTTTTTCAGATGCCAGGCACCAGCATGACCGGTTTCTGTGAACCAACCCTTGGCTGAGGGTGTTGAGTCTGAAAGCAAGAGAACTCTGTTCTATCTGTACATCTCTAAGAGGAAAGAAGTCTCTCACCTGCACCTAGACAGGAGTAGTTAACAGAGAGCCCAAGCAGAAAGAATTTTAACTCAGAACACCTTGAGATCTTCAAGTATACACAACTACAGCATTACAAACAGCAGGTCATCTCCCCCTGGCCACACCGGGGAACCAGTAAGCAACACAATGACCCCACACACTCACGGAGTAGCCTTTACAAAAGAGGCACACTGATGTCTAAGGCTGAGACTCCTGAAGGGGACCTGACAGAGCTCCTGTACGGACACCAAGACAAGGCTGCTGGGCGTCCCTAACCCGCAGGACACAGCTCACACGCGCCCACATTCACTCAATTCTTCTGCATATACAACTTAATGATGCCTACATCCAAGTTCATAAAGCATATGTATAACCGACATCTAAGCGCCCACCAGGGTGGATGGCCCTGGGCAGGAGGGCAAACCTGACTCTGCCTCGCTCTCGGGGTGGTTGTGTCTCCTAGCCTCACGCGTGCATCTGCGCTGTGGGAGGAAACTCACTAGCGCCTGAGCTCAGTGAGACACCACATCACAAAACAAACAAACAAAAGCCCCAGCTGGCACTAAACAACCAGAAAGATAGGAATGTAGGGCAGGTTTAACTGTATTTTATTTTTTGTTTTTTGAGGCAGAGTTTCTTTGTGTAACAACAGTCCTGGCTGACCTGAAACTCTCTTTGTAGACCAGGCTGGCCTCAAACTCACTGAGATCTACCTGTCTCTGCCTCCCAAGTGATGGGACTAAAAGCGGGCACAGCCTGGTCAAGTAAGAAAATGTTTTCATTTAAAAAAAGGCCACAACACACAGTTGGGCTCTAACCTCCCTGTCTATCACTTCTCCCAGATATGCCCCTCAGCAAGCCTTTCTCCTGCTTTGAGACAGGGTTTCTCTGTAGCTTTGGAGCCTATCCTGGCACTTACTCTGTAAACCAGGCTGGCCTTGAACTCACTGAGATGTGCCTGCCTCTGCCTCCTAAATGCTGGGATTAAAGGGGTGTGCCACGACTACCCAGCTCCAGATCTAGGTTTAAATGTCTGTCTGTCTGTTTCTTTCTCTCGCTCACCTGTGAATGGAGCGCCTGAGTTCTGTTAGGACCTCAACACTCAAACAACAAATGGATAGCTCCAGCCCTGACTTCATAGCTTCCTGCTGCCACTGTGGCCTCCCGGGAGCCAGAGGGACCTTTATCACAGCATGAAGTCTGAGCCTCTACTCAGCTCAGAACCTCAATGGCTTCCCAGTTCTGGTCACGAAAGGTAAAGCTGCCCCAACTCCACCTGTCTGCCCACCCCAGCTTCCACCAGTTCTTTCAGGTCTGCACCATACCCATTCTGCTAGCACCTTACTCCCAGGACTGGCTGTCAGTAGGCAAGTACAGAGCTAAAAGAGGAAGGAGGGGAGCCAGCTTCTACAGCTCTCCCCTCCTGGCTGCTACTAGGGAAGTCGCCTTCCACTGATGGCTGTAGTCACATCAATAACTAGACAGTCAGCAGCTAACTCTGGCACCCAGTGGCACACAGCACAAAATCCCTTTCTGTGACAACTGGCCCAGTCTGTCACAAACTCACCTCATCCCCAACCCATGCCCTCTGCTCTAAACAGAGCACCCCAACTCTGGGTCATGTGCCTGCTGTCTAAATTCCAAATCCTTGATTTTCTGTGCTCAGATTTCCATTTCCCATCCACATAAATTACAACCTGCCCCCAGACATCAACGACACTGCCCACCTGGGTCCCAGGTTCTCGGTGCGGAGCGCATTCACTGGTCTCCTTCTCTAGGCTAGCAGCAGGACAAGCACAGTACAGTAGTGTGACGGATGCCCAGTGTGGCATCCAGGTGGAGCCTCCACCATCTCTAGAAAGGGGCAGGGCCAGTAAACAGGGGAAATTTTCCAACATAAGCCTTGAAGCTGCACACCCCATCTTTGGCGTAATCGGCAGGACCTATGGCAGGTTTTTTCTAGATTTTTTTTCTTCTCCAGGTTATCTTGTCCATGCCTGTACAAGTTCACAACTTCCTATGGGATCCACCTGCCACGGCAGACTCACAATTTACGTAACAACACATGGGCATCCCACTGTCAAGAAGGAAACCCCAAGCCAACCCCTGAAACAGCAATGAGATGACGGACTTCCTTCCTGGAAGCACACTTCCTTCCTGGAAGAGGGCCTTCTCCAAGCTGACTGCTGCCGTTCTGCGCGCGCGGTGCAGCCCAGGCTGCGACTCCTTTATGTGCAGGAGGAATCACAGTCCAGAGGTTCCTGGAGGGCTCTGTCGGAAAGCGCCCCATGTGCTGCAGCCCAGGAGCCAGTGAGACTGGACGTGCACGCGCACGGCCTCACTCCAGTCGCTGCCCAGACTTTTCCCGGCTCTCATCAGCCATCAGGTGTGCAGAGGTGCTGAGGACCAAGTCTGCCCCATGATGACCGGCAAACAGGAAAGAGTAATAGGGTTCCCGGCAGCCTGCATTGTCAGAGGCTAGTCTGTCCAGTTACAGGAGTAATTGGGGGAGGGTCCCCAGAGGAGGAAAAAAAAAAACAGCGAATACATCAACATCTCACAGACGTGTCAGGGAGACACTACAGCTGGAAGCGCTCAGCCTTCCAGTTGTGCACACGAACTATCCTTGAGTCGGTGGTGGTGGTGGTGCACACTTTTAATCCCAGCTTTTGGGAGGTAGAGGCAGGAGGATCTCTGTGAGTGGGAAGCCAGCCTGGTCTATAGAACTAGTTGTAAGGGTTACATAGAGAAACCTTGTCTCAAAAAAAAAAAAAAAAAGCAAATAATGAAAAAAAAAATCCTTAAGCTTTTGTCAATGCTTTAAAATGCTGTGGTACACACGAATACAGCCATAAAGCTAATTTTTAAAAGACTTAAACACCAATTTAGGATTGGTTGTGGGTCTCTACCCGGTAACACTAATTCTGGGTCACTAAAGACCCTTTCTCAGCTAGTCACACAGGCATGGGGCACTGTGGAAAGACCAAGTGTGACCTCTCTGAACCAACTGGTAGCCAGATACAGAGGACTTCCAACTAGTGAACTGCTCGCAAGATGACCTTGCACTGTGTCCATGGGGCTGAAGGTTTCCTGAGTCCCCCAACTCTGTGCTTCTCCAAATTTAGGGCCTGCAGGGAGCACGCCTTTGGTTTCTAACCAATCTCATGCCCTCACTACCTGCTTGGGGTTACATGTCCATCTTAAAGAGTGTCCACCAAGCCCAACATCCACTAAGCAAGCTTCAAGGAGAAAGGGGCCCTGGGATCAGACCAAACCTCTGACACTTAGGCATCCCATCAAGATAGCTCCCAGAGAAACAGAGGTCCTGAGGGTCAGAAAGGCGAGATCAGAAAATATAAAGGACACCAGGGAAAGGTTTTAGGGGGAGGGGGTGTCCGTGGGTTGTGGAGCCGGGTGTCAGAGTCTGAAAGGACGACGCCTGAGTACTGGGGGTGTCAGACCTAATTTGACTCCCTAGGTTCAAAAGCTGATGCAGGTGGGGAGATGGGTTGTGAAAGTGGCCCGGGAGACCAGGCGTTCGCCCAAGCGCAAGTGGGGCTTGGGGGTCCCACAGACAGGGCGCCGGACCGAGATCGGGGTAAGGGACCGTAAGGCCGTGACCCCGAACCACAGCGCCCAGGACCGCGCGCGCAGCCACGCACCGCTGCCGACGTCGCGAACTTTTCCGGCCCCCCTCCCGCCGACTTTCAGTTTCCGGCCCCGCGGCTCCGAACCCCACCCCCACCCCGACGGCGGCAGCCCCGCATCTGACCCCCAACCGCCACTCCCACCCCGCGCCTGACCCCGGCCACACCGGCCGTGAGCGCCGACCCCGGCTCAGATCCGCGCCGCCTCACCCAACGGTCTCCGCGCGCCCGGAACTCACCGTCCGCCGGGAACCACCCCCGCTGCTGCGGCCCGTCCCGCCTGACGGACAGACTCACGAGCCTACCAGGAGCTCCCAGGGAGCGGCAGCGGGCGTCGATTTGTCAAATAGGCCTCCCTGGGCCCTCTCCTCTGACGGACGGCAGCAGGAACCTACCAGGAGCGATCAGGGAGCCGCAGCGAGCGGCGATTGGCCGGCGCCGCGCGGCGTGGTACCGAGCTTGTTTCCCCGCTTCCTAGCAAAGTCTATGAGGGGCTGACGTGAGCTGCTGCGGGTTGGCGTAGGTCCTCCTTGGACAATCGCGCTCCTAGCACAAACCTGGCGCTCTGGAAGTCAGTGGGTAAAGTCACTTGCCACAAAGCCTGATGACCCTAGTTCAATGATCCATGATATGGAAGAAGAGCAGGAATTTATGCGTTATTTAATCACACACACATCACATACCATGTATAGATAACACCATACACACACACACACACACACACAAAATAATTAGATCTCACCAATCTATTTTTTGTTTTGTTCTTCGAGACAGGATTTCTCGTAGCTTTGGAGCCTTTACTGTAACGTGTTCTGTAGACCAGAACTCAGCAATCCACCTGCCTTTGCCTCCCGAGTGCTGAGATTAAAGGCGTGCACTACCACCATCCAGCTCAAGATCTCACCAATATTCTACACCAGCTATGTCCAGTCTGCAGCATGTATCCCAGGATGACCTTGAATGCATCCCAACACTTGTAAATGTTATATCACGATATCAAAAGGATGGACACCTCTGCACTATACCCTGAGTCTCTTCTGCTTTCGTTCTGTAGTTGGCTTTGAGAGACATGTGTGCCCTTTGCTGTTGGTTCTTTTTACTCTTTTGACACATATTTCTTTGCCCTTTGAGGAGCCCGCCACCCATCTCTCAAATAAATCACACACAGTGGCTTATTCTTAATTATAAATGCCTGGCCTTAGCTTGGCTTATTTCTCGCCAGCTTTTCTTAACTTAAATTATCCTGTCTATATTTTGCCTCTGTGCGTTTTTCTTTCCTTACTTCTGCATGTCTTACTTTCACTCTTACTCCATGGCTGACTGTGTAGCTGGGTGACAGGCCCCTTCTTTTCTGGCTCCTTGATTTCTTGCTCCTCCTACCCTTTCTTCCACATTTCTCCATCTATTTGTTGTTGTTGTTGTTGTTTTTTTAAAGATCTATCTATCTATCTATCTATCTATCTATCTATCTATCTATCTATCTGTCTATCTATTTATGGTGTATACACCATTCTGCCTCCATGTATGCCCACACGTCAGAAGAGGGCACCAGATCTCATTACAGATGGTTGTGAGCCACCATGTGGTTGCTTGGAATTGAACTCAGGACCTCTGAAAGAGCAGCCAGTGCTCTTAACCTCTGAGCCATCTCTCCAGTCCTCTCCGTCTATTTGTTCTCTCTGCCTAACAATGCCACCTGTCCTTTCTCCTGCCTTGCTGTTTAGACAGGCACAGTAACAGCTTCATGGAGTTAAACAAATGCAACATAAAACATAAGCATCTTTGCATCATTAAAAAAATGTTCCATAGCATCAACAAATGTAACACATTTTTTTTAATTCTCCAACAATCAATTTATTTACAACAGCATTTTAAAGGCAGATATGCCCATTTTGATGAACCCAACCCCACACCCCCAAATCTACTAGTGTTCCACAAATCCTGCACCCTCCAGGACCCAGAGAGCTCACAAGTTGTCCCGAGAGACTGCAGCTACTCTCAACACCTGTCACGCAGGTTGATTTCAGGAAGCCTGAGGGGCCCATGGTTAGACTGTACCTTGGTCCCCGCCCCCAACATCAATTATGTAATGTGGAACACCGAGGGGCCCCAAAGTGCAGAACAAAAACAGTTTAACTCCGAGAAGCTGTTACTGTGCCTGTCGAAAACACCTGAGTGGCCTAATAAAGAACCGAACAGCAAGTCCAGGTGAAGTACCCAAGCTTGAGGTACTGCGCAGCCTGTGAGGAGGGCTGGACAAACATACCCCTTCTGCTGTGTGCTTTCCACTTTGGCAAAAGAACAAAATCACCAGGAGTTTTAAGAACATGAGTAAAGTTCAGGAGACTGAAAGTACAACAGCAGTCTGTACACACAACCTTCAGGCTGCCCCAGGCAGTCTCATTGCCTGCTCCCTGCCAGCTTCCCACAGCCAAAGAGCTGACCGCAACCAAAGGTGACTGTCCCAGTTTTCTTTGTCAGCCACCCTGACTTTCCCCTGGAGAAGGCAGAAGGGCGGCAGCCTGTATCTAAAAGGACAGAAGAGTCCGGGGACCTCACATTCAAGAGTGAGAAGCTTTAAAAGGCCTGGCGCCATCAGACAGACCGCACAGCCCAAGTGGCCCCAAGCCCTTCCAGAGGCAGCTGCTGAGGAAGGGTAAGCATCTCTCAGGAGGGGACACCTGGACTTGAGATTGGATGCCAGTTTTGTGGGCTGGGGAAGGGAGCTGAGGGACAGAAAGCCCAGGCCAACCCAGCTGGCTGGGAGTGTCAGCCCAGGAATAAACTCAGCCCTGGGAAGATGGAGGAGAAGAACCACCTGCAAAGGCCTCAGTCAGTGTTGGTGGCACTGGACCTCTAAGGAACAAACTCAGCCCTGGGAAGATGGAGGAGAAGAACCACCTGCAAAGGCCCCAGCCAGTGTTGGTGGCACTGGACCTCCAAGGAACAAACTCAGCCCTGGGAAGATGGAGAAGAGGAACCACCTGTTAAGGCCACAACCAGTGTTAGTGGCACTGGACATCTCTGGTACACAAAAGTCCACAGGAACCTACTCAGGGCTGTCACACAACAGGATTTCCTGTCTGTAGAAGTTGGGGAGAGGCTCCCAGGAGCTGCCTGGCAAAGGTGTGGCTCTGATCCTCACTGGTCACAGCAAGCGGCAGGTGTGTGTTCACTGGAAACTGAAGGCCCTGCAGCACTGGGCTGAAGTCCACACATCTGGTCAAACCCTGCCAACTCCACATAGGCAGATGACAACACAGAGCTTGCTGTCTTCCAGCTGTGGCCACAAGTCACATGAGTCACCCACACACTTGTGCAAATTCACTATCAGGACAGAGAACCACTGCCCAACCTAAGACTCAGTTTAAGGCGCCCAGCCTGGCAGGTTGGAAAAGAGTCAAGGCAGCTATGAAGGGTTGGAGAAAGTTGAGCGCAGAGTGTGGGCACAAGCCTCCAGTACATCACAGAAGGGAGGCAACACCTGCCCAGGGCATGCTAATTTCTCAGGGCAGCCAACCTCCGAGACAGCTGGTCCTCCGGGCTGCATACCCAGAGGTGGCTTTCACCCACAGCAGAGTCACCCTCTAAAAGCTGGCTGAGCTGGTCTAAGACCTCCAGGCCATTTTCCCCAGCAATCAGCACAATGAGACTGTCGACCTGCTCCTGAGGTGTGGTCAGCATGGTGGGAGAGTTCCTGGAACCCTCTGTTCCCGATGTGTGCACATGCCGGCTCTGCACCTGCTGCTCAGACCTGTCCATCACCGCAGACACCTTCTGAAGATCCATGGCACTCAGCGCCTTGTCCAGAGCTTTGGTCACTGGTGCCATATTCTTAATCACCTCCTTCATGGTCACAGCTGTCTGCACCTTGGAGGCTACTGCATTCTCACGGGATGCCATCCAGAGCCAGTTTACACCTTCATTCTTCTTGCGGATGGCGTTTTCAGCATACCCGCAGGCACACTTCACATGTTCCTGCTGAAGGGCCTTCTTCACTTTGGCCTGCTCAGCTTTGGAGTCCTTTTCTGCCTGCTTGGCCAGTCTCTCTAGCTGCTTTGTTGTGAATTTCAACTGGAACAGGGTATCATCCATGGCCAGTCAGGTAGTGCACCCGTCAGGGCAGTGAAGGGGACGAGATCTTACGGACCATCTGGCAAATGTGACACATCTTAAAACTATTCTACAATAGCCTTTCTCTCTGGCTATTAGGCTCCTGGAATAATGGACTCCAAGAAACTGAAATACTCTCCAGGAATCTCATGCAGGAGAAAGGAAAAGGCCGAAGCCCAGGCCAACCAAAGGAGAAACTTGTGTCCTGGGAAGAGATCTGCAACCTCAGTCCATCTTGCAGGGTAGCCTGGAGATGAGACAATGAGTTGGGTTAGTGATGGGCAGGACCACACTTTAACCCGGTCTACTTAGTGATGCATAACTCTGGCCCCTACTTGAAGTTAAACTTCATGCAGGACCCTAAAGGTGACAGTGGGGGTGACTGTGTCACTGGATCTCTTTTTCTTTCTAATTTGGCCACAGTGAGTAAATCTTTCTTGCTTTTCACTTGTGAGTTTTCTCTTTAATTGGCTTATTGAGGACAAGTGCCTGAGCGTGGCTTGCTAGGGATGCCAGAATGGGCTCTGACCCTAATAACTACAGTAGCAATCTCACGAGGATTGCAAGGACTAGGGAGCTGAGGGGAGTCCAGGTGAGATCCTGGTCACGAGGAGATACCCTGCAACCGTGAAAACGGTTCTGGGATGAAAACTGTTTAAAGCTGGGGCTGCTGATCCGGCCGTCCTGACTACACTCTTGCTTCGTCAGGAGGTGGAATTCCCCTAACCGAATCAAGAATTCCACCAATGTGACAGCAAGGTTGTCGTCTTCTGACAAAACTCAGGCAGCCACTGGGTCAATGATCTTGCTAGAGCGTGTTAGACCCAAGCAATAGTGAGTCCCCACCTGCAGGAACTCACTCAGCTCTACCAGTGTAAGGAGGCCTTTCAGGCTGTGCCTGAGAGGCCTGAGTGTGTGCTGAGACACTAGCAGCCTAGCCTGGGAGAAAGACTCAATCCACAGCAGAGCATCTACTCCCCTAGGGGAAAATGTGTGTCTGCTCCATCCTCCAGATATCACCTCACCCACATCCACCAAAGATTTACCGTAAAGACACTACCCCCTGCCATGAACGGTAGCTGAGCCAGAGAGTGACATTACCCTAGCCACCTTAACCGTAGCCTGCTGGCTCAATGCTGCCTCCACAAATGTGCCCTTTAGACTTCTCTACTTTTGAGATTTTGTGTGCACTTTTTTTTGGGGGGGGTACTGGTGTGCAGAGTGTGTACAGACTTAGACCAGGTCAACAGATGGGAGGTGTCCTGAATGGGAAGTGGCCTCACTACTGCCCCACCCACCAGCACAGAACTGCATGACACCCCGGGGACTCACCTCACTCGCTGACTGGGAAATGGGTGAGTCACCGTATCGTCGGACTACTCAGGGGTTTCCCACGTGCATTCCTTTCTGCTAAAAAGAAAGCAAAAGTTACCCAGCAAGACAACCAGAGGGCCAGGCAGACGTTGGGGGTGTCCCGTGGGCAGACGAAAGAGGATCCACACAGCACCTGCTCCCTCCCTGAGTCCTGGGATCAACCACAACCCCCTCTTCGGTAGAGCCTTTGACTCTGCATGGGCATGTGCCGTGGCATTTGTCCTGAAGATGGCTGAGGTGACACACTGAAACAGGTTGGAACCTCAAGTGCTGACAGAGTTGGTTGGGGTGGGCTGTGGTGATTGGACAAGACAGTTGTACCACATGTGTGTGGAAGTCAGGACGCAACCTCGGGTGTCTTTCCTCACCTCTCCCCCGTGAGTCAGGGTCTCTCATTTGACATTGCTGACTTAGACTGGGCTAGCTGGCTTGCAAGTTTCCAACACTTCTCGTCTCTGCCTTCTGTCTTGCCATAGGCAAGCATACTGTGACTAGGGAAGTGAGCTGCTGAATCTGGCTTTGCATGAGCCCTGGGGATCAGGCTCTCCTGCCAAGGTCCAGCTTGACCACAATCCTTCGTACCAGGCGGTACCACCCTCCCTGTGCTTGGCTTGGGCCTTCTCCGGGCCTTATAGCCTCAGGTTAAAGCAGCTGTCTGTCCTGGTAACCCTGGGTTCTCCTGACCACAAACACGTCATCTGTACAAGATATAATGGTAGCATTTCTGAACTGTGACCTCTGTGGTCTAGGGCCCAGTTCCATCGTCCACACTGGCTTGCTGTCAGGGCAGGGCCCAGGGCTTCTAGCTTCTCAGAGAACAGCGAGTATGCCACCTGCCGTCCAGAGAGGGAAAGGGCTGTGAGCGGGACCTTCTTGGCATCTGACTGGGTAGCCTCGCTGTTACTCACACATCTGTACCAGCACTGCTCCCACTCAGACCTAGCAAGTGGAGCCTCCAAGGCCATGCAGTCACATGTCTGTGGTGATGTACAGCTGTAATCTCAACACTCGAGATCCCAGGGGGCCCTTTCCACCTGCGGCAGCCGGGTGTCCCTGCCCCTCCCTAACACATTCTCCACAGGGGCTCCTGCCGTGGTAGGATGCTATCCTCCGAGTGTAGCAGCCTTTGCCGCCTACACTGGCAGCTGTGACCATTCCCAGGTGATCCTCAAGATTGGGACTTGATATCCCCTCATAGAAGAATTGGGTGGGGATGGTCACAGACCTGAGATCTCAGCCCCTCTTTCCTTCACTCCCTGCCAGATATATGCAGTTCTGCTCCCAGATATACGTAGTCTTTTGTTCTCAGGAGGTGCTAGAGTATATAATGTGGAGGTTAAATGAAGGGAGACGCCACCTATGCGGCCATAGGAAGTCATCATCTGTGCTGGGTGAGACTTTTACAGCTTTGGGGTTTGCCCATCTAAGCCACTACTCACCCATGCTTTGGAAGTACCCAATAAACTCAATGGTTTGCTGAGTTGGACTTTAGCAGAATTGCACCTTCATCTCTTGCTGGCGCCTTATTTGGTGTGAGTAGGTGCCTGTATGTGTCTTCCAGGAAAAGTTCACACAACACCAACATTCTTTCAGCTCTTTTTCCCTGGTCCAGAGAACAGACCAAATGGAGATTCTGTCCCTTGCTCTGGAATTTGGACACAGTCTGCCACTTCCTTAGGTTTTAGGTTCTCTGGCCCACTTTTCCATATCGCACAACTCTTGCCACGTCTGTTCATCCGCTCACACCTGCCCCTGCCTTCCCTGCCCACATTGTGCAGCTGGCAGAGGCTCACAGCTGCTGGTGGTGAGGACTGGCCTGGTAGTACTTGACCAGCTCCATCACCGTCCTTGAACCTCATCTACGCCGTCATGCTGGTGAAAAGGGCACAAAGTAAACTTTATGGAGGATTAAACACTCATTCAGCCAGGCACAGCAGTGCATGCCTGGAACCCCAGAACTCAGGAGGCAGGCAAGCTTGACAGTAGCTTGACCTACGCGGGAGCACCTTGACTCAAAGGCAGCACTTAGAGCCAGGCGGTGTTGGTGCACGTCTTTAATCCCAGAACTTGGGAGGCAGAGGCAGGCGGATGTCTGTGAGTTTGAGACCAGCCTGGTCTACAAGAGCTAGCTCCAGGGCAGGCTGCAAAGCCACAGAGAAGCCCTGTCTTGAAAAACAAAAACAAAACAAACAAACAAAAAAGCAGCACTTAAACCAAGTGTAACAACTTTTGAGATAACAGTATAGACTTGTATCTCTTTTGAACTGTAATGTTTGCAAATTTGACTTTAATTTTTATCAAAACTGATCTTTTAACCAAGTGCAGTAATGCACAGATGTAATCACATGTAATTCCAGTATTCAAGAGACTAAGACAGAAGAACTCTAGACCAGCCTGGAGTACACAGTTAGACCCTGTGTAATAAAAAGAGGAAACATTGTTATCTTCTTGTTGTCAGGCACGGCAGACAGTCCAGCCAAATCTACCCATCTGTATTTCCTTTTAATGGATCAGAACACCTTTTGTCAAAGTAAAATTTAAAAGTTTTCTTCTGCAGTCACGAATATATGGCAAGAAATTCAGAAATGAACCTCAAATATGGTACTCAGTAAGGATTCCTGAACCTTCCCCATCACAGTGCATGCTATAAACTGTGACTCACAACTGTCTTTGAGTGCAGCTCCAAGGGATCTGGTGCCCACTTCTGGACTCAGAGGGCACCTGCTCCACATGTGTGCACCCCCACATACACACGTGGTTAAAAATAATATTTGTTTTTGTGTTTTTGAGACAGGATTTCTCTGTGTTGCCTTGGCTGTCTTGGACTCACTCTCTAGGCCAGACTGGCCTCAAACTCAGAGATCATCCTGCTTTGACCTTCCAAGTGCTGGGATTAATGGCATTTGACACCAATGCCCAGCTAAAAATAAATATTTTTTAAGAACTGTTTTCCTAAATCTAGAAACCAAGGGACAGTTGAAGACTAAAGTTCTAGAAAGCCGTTTTATTATGACTTTTTCTGGGGATGCTATTTTCATTCTCGATAGAGAGGTAGAGAGCAATGGCAGACCAAAGGAAAAATTCTGTCCCAGTCCATTTTGGTGCACAATGAGTTTATTAGGGTCATTTACAGAAGTCTAGGCAACTCCATTACCAGAAAGGCCCTGTGCAACTCACCAGCAGTTATACCACCAGTAATCTCCTTCCCAGCAGCTGTTTGCTGCTTATGCATCAAGAAGGGGTCTGTGAGCATCGTCTCTACACGAGGGAATGGTGACAGTTCTGCTCTCCCGGGGGTCTCCTATGGGTGACCACAGCTTCTGTGCTTCAAGATGGTTAGTGGTCATGGGGAACCCAGAGGAAACTGTTACACAACACAGTGTCAGGCCCCTGACTGCCCACAACTGTAGAGAACTGATAGAATCTGGAAGCCACTGTCTGTAAGCATTGGGCAACCGGCAGTGCAGACCTGAGAGGGGGGTGAGGTGGAGGTGGGGGTGGGGGTGGGGGACACGACAGATCCTCAGTTGCCTATGTTCTCTCTGGCTTTCTGTTCAGGACGCTTCTCCAATAGTCTCACAGGGGGGTGGAGAGCGAGCACAGTGTGGGGATTTTGCTGTGCTGAGGAAGTCAAAGGCAGGGCCCAGGGTAACAGGAGCAGCTGCAGCGACAGAATTTGATGCTGCCTGTAACTCCAGGTCCAGGGAATCTGACACCCCCTTCTGGTCTCTAGAGGTACTGCACTCACATACAGACCCTACCACCACCAGCAGCACTATCCCATATACACAAAATTAAAAATAAAATATCTTGAGAGGCAGAGGCATGTTGTGGAATACTTAACTAGGTATAGATGTGTTGCACTTGTTCATGCTCTGGAATGCTACTTGAACTATGCAAAGGTGTGCTGCATTGTTTATGCTGCATTTGTTTAATGATGTAAAGATGTGTTCAAGTATGAAAAGATGTGTTGCATTTGTCTCACCTTGCCTGCCGAAGGCACGTGATTGGGCTAGTAAAAAGTTGGATGCCAGTAGCTAAGCAGGAGAGGAATAGTCAGGGCTGGCAGGAAGAGAGAATGGATAGGAGAAATCTAGGCTCAAGAGGAACGGACAGACAAGAGACGGGAGAACAAGCGGGATGCCTGGGGTCAGCCAGGCAGCTGCCCGCCAGAGACGAGAAGTGAAAGTAAGACACACAGAAGGACAGCAAAGTGAAAAGCCCCAAGGCAAAAAGTAGATAAACAGGTTAATTTAAGTTAAAAAGAGTTAGCCAGAAATGAGCTTAAGCTAAGCCAAGCATTCAAAACTAATAATACATCTCCATGTTGTGATTTGGGAGCTGGCTGGTGGCCCAAAAGACAAAGCCTGCCACAGAGGCAGGTGAACCACTGTGAATTCCAGGACATCCAGACATACATAGTGATCTCTGTCTCAAAGTAAATGGAGGAGGTAAAAATTTTTTAACAACAACAACAACAATAATAATAATAACCTGAAAAAATAAAAAAATAAAAATCTTTATAGATTTTTTTTAAAAAAATGGGCTTCCAGTTTACCGAGCTGTATCTCACTCCTATTCATACAATTATCTTTCTACATTTTGTAATGCTTTGATATCTTTTTTTTTTAGTATACTGACTTTTCCCACACAAGATTATTTTAAGATACTATATAATTCACATAACACAAAAATCTTACATATTAACATGAAATATACATGTTGTCCTAGGGTTTGGCTTAATAGTAGGGAGTGGGAAGAAAGGAAGGAAAGAGGGACGGCGGACTGGAGAGATGGTCATTCCGTAAAGTGGCTGCCATGTAAGTCTGAGGACCTGAGTTCGGATCCCTAGCAGCCATGTAGGCGCTGGGCGCTTACAACCCCAGTTCCGGGGAGGGGGAGACAGGGAGATCCCTAGAGCTCCAATGGAGCTCCGGGTTCAGTCAGAGACTGCGTATCAAACAGTACGGAAGGAGCAACTGAGGAAGACCTCCAGTGTTTGCCTGACTTGAAACAAAACAAAGCAGAAAACAGGAAGGAAGAGAGGGTGGGTGTTCGGGCTGAAGAGATGAGGTTGGAGAGGACTCGGATCCTGAAAGGAAGAAATAAACCACCATTTTTAATTTGTGTTCCTGCAGGCTACAGAAATGTGTGATGACGAAGTGGCTAATGCTGGCAAGCCACGCCTGTTAGATACGCGAACAGAGGATTCACTGTCCCTGGAGGTAGTTTCCCATGCTAGCTGCTGAGGCTTCTCTTCAAAGCAGCAACCTCTGAGCCTGGAACACGCTGGAAGACCCTGAGCTAGGATTATTAGAGAGAAAAGGAGGGCAGCCTCATGGCATCTGTCTGAGCCCAGAGGGTAGCGGGGGGCGGGGGCAAGGACTGGGCAGGAGACATCAGGGCTGGATTCCTGATGTGGGACAATGGCAGGCGATGGAGGGGTCCCTCTTCAAGTCCAAGCTAGCCGGAGCGGATACACTGTGGGACTGGCTCAGCTGTTCCTGCAGAGCTCACCCACGGTCTGGGATGCCTCCTAACAAGTTCATGCAAGTCAAACCCAGATAGGGTGCTGACAATGCCTTAGATTACGGCCCGTGTCAGGCATCTAGATGGACCCCTCTCTCGTTTCACTCTGAGAGTCAAACAGGTTGGAACGACTGTGCATTTGTAGCCCACAAATAAGAGGAATGGGTTAAGATGTTTATGGACAGGAATGTCTTCTGAGGATTCTTGGACACTTAAGTCAGCTAGAAGTGAAGGAGAAAGGGCTTTGCACCTGCCAGGCCAGTGGTGAGTCTTTCCCAATCAATCATGCAGGTTGCAAGATGTCAACAGAATTGATACCGCCCCCAATGGAATAGAATTAACACTCTCAGGCTGGTGAGCTGGCTCAGGTTAAAATGCCTGCTGCCAAGCCTGATGATCTGAGTTCTAGCTCCAGAATCCACGCGGTGGAAGAGAACCGACTCTCCAGAGCTGTTGTTGGAAGTGGGTCACATTACTCGTGCGTGGCCCTCCACCCACACACGACTGCACACACAAAACACATTGAAAAATGTAAAAGAAAACCACTCTCACCAGCTAGGCACTCACCTGTGTTCCCATCTCTCAGGAGGCTGAGAGAGGAGGAGGCCGGACTGAACTACATAGTGAGGCCCTGTCCCCCAAACACAAAGCAGACAAAGATCTCACATCAAAAGATGCAAGTCCAACTTACGGTGCTGTGGATGTTTTTCACTCATGAATGGACTTGTACTTATCAAAATTCTAGTTTCAGGAACCGTGCTGGCTAGTTTTGTGTATCAACTTGGTATCGGCTAAAGTCATCAGAGAAGGAGCCTCATTTGAGGAAGTGCCCCCAGCTGTAAGGCGTTTTCTCAGTTAAGGATCAATGCGGAGGGCCCAGACCATGGCAAGTGATGCCATCTCTGGGCAGGTGTTCCTGGGTTCTACCAGAAGGTGGGCTGAGTTAAGCAAGCCACAAGAAGTAAGCTAGTAAGCAGCTCCCCTCCATGGCCTCTGCATCAGCTCCTGCCTCCAGGTTTCAGCCCTGCTTGAGTTCCTGTTCTGACCTCCTTTGAGATGGTCTGTGATCTGGAAATAAACCCTTTCCTCTCCATCTTGCTTTTTGGTCATGTTTTGGTACAGCAGTAGAAACCCTAAGTCAGGGACCAAATCTGCTGGATCTGCTACCAGTGAGTTCATCAGTGAGAAGTCTTGAGCTTTCTCAAGCTAACGCTGATACCGATGGAGAAATGTGGTTAAACACTAGAAAAAGGACTGAGTTGTCTATCCTTTTTAAAAAAAATATTTATTTATTATGTATACAGTGTTCTGGCATGTATACCTACATACCAGAAGAGGGCACCAAACCTCATTATAGATGGTTGTGAGCTACCATGTGGCTGCCGGGAATTGAACTCAGGGCCTCATGGAAGAGCAGCCAGTGCTCTTAACCTCTGAGCCATCTCTCCAGCCCCCTCTATTCTTTTTCGAAAACAATTCCACATAAAATGTGACAAGGCAATCAGAGAGAACACAGCTGAAAACAGCAAGCAAAAACAAAGAAATATGTACAATTTATATTTCTATTATCATAATTTATTTTTTGAGATAGGCTCTCACTGTGTATCCCTGGCTAACCTGGAACTCCCAGAAATCCATTTACCTCCCAAGTGCTGGAATTGAAGGTGTGTGGTACCATCCCCAGCCTCTTACAACTCTTTCAAATCAGACTCCACTTTCCAGGGGATCTGATGCTCTCTTTTGGTCTCCACAGACATGGATATGTGATTTTTGAGGCCAGCCTGGTCTACATATCACGTTCCAAGCCAGCCAAAGTTATATAGTGAGACCCTGTCTCAAAAAACCCCACAATTTTAAAGTCTTTCATATTTTTATCTTGTCCACATGAATGTCTATGCAGCACATGTGTGCGGTGTCTGTGGTGTCCAGAAGGCATCAGATCCCTTGGAATAAGTTGCAGATGCCTGAGCCACCTTGTGGGTGCTGAGAATTGAATCCAAGTCTTCTGGAAGAGTAGTCAGTGCTCTTATCTGCCAAGCCATCTCCTCATTTTTAAAATTTAAAAGTGTTTTTTTGTTGTTGTTGTTTGTTTGTTTTTGTACCCAGAGTGATGACACATGCCTTTAACCCCAGCAATTGGGAGGCAGAAGAAGGCATATAAATTCCAGGCCAGCCTAGTCAACACAGTGAGCTCCAGGCCAGTACATCGTGAGAGCCCATCTTAAAAAAGACAAAACATCACCCCACCAATGTGTGTGTGTGTTTCATGTGTATAGGCATTTTGCCTTTACACGTGTCTGTATACCACGTGTGCCTGGTGCCCTCCGGAGGCCAGAAGAGGGTATCGATCCCTCTGGAGTTGGAGTTACAACCTGATGTGGGTGTTCTTGGGTCCTCAGCAAAGCAGCAAATGCTCTTAACCACTTAAGCCCCTCTATAACCATTTTTGTCTCCCCCAAGCAGGGTTTCATGTAGCCCTGGTGGCCTCAAACTTGCTAAGGAGAACCTTGAACTTTTGATCCTCCTGTCTCCACCTCCAAGTACTGGTGTTACAAAGGTGAGCTGTTTATTTTGATCTTTATCTCGAGGCAGGATTCCTCTTCATAGTCTTGGCTGTCCTCTAACTGCTCTGTAGACCAGACTGGCCCTGAACTCATAGAAACCCGTCTGCTTCTGCTTGCCGAGTGCTGGGATTAAAGGAGCGCACAACAACCGCCATGATGAGCTTTTACTTTCAAACTAATTTTATTTTCCTGTACTCCAAAGTACACGGTCAGGCCTCACGAAATTTGCCAACTGCTGTCCTCCCCTAACCCCCTGTCCCCAGAACACCTCCAAAGGAACGGAACTTCAAACTGCAGGTACAAGTCCAAAGCTATAGCACAACAGAACCCGAACCTGAATTCTATCTCAGGACTCAGTCCCAAGGCGTGGACGGAAAGACACGTGTTACCAGGGTACCGACCAATGTGGGGGACACTGGCACAGGTTGCTCGGATGTAGGGGAGACCCGCTGGGATCAGTAGGTTCTGTACTCCCTCTCTCCACTAGAACAGCACCTGTGCTAGCACGAGGGGGCGGGCGTCGCCAGCGCCCCTCTCCGCCCAGTCCCCAACTCTTCTCAGATTCGCGTGCTCCGCTCCTTCCCTCCGCCCCCCAGTACCCCAACAGGTCCCTACTGTTTTCTCAGGTTCTCCCCTCCTTTCCCTTTCCTTTCCTGTCCAGGTGCCCCACTCTCCTCTCCAGTTCGGGGCCCCCCACTTTCTTAGGTCCTTCCCTCTCCTGTCCAGGTGCCCACTCTCCTCTTCAGGTCCCCTCTGCTCTTCTCTTCTCTAAGGTCCCTCTCCGCTCTCTTCGACCCCCACGTTTCTCCGGCCCTGGTGCTCTGTCCTTCGCATCCCCACAGACACAGGACTAGATCATCAGCGAAGATCAGACGTCGCCCTCCATGGGCCGCCCGTGGGCGGACCCGGCGGGTCCCTGGACTAGCAGAGCTCCGATTGGCCGCAGAGCTCGGGGAGCAGCAGCCCCTGGGACCATTGACCAATGGGAGCCAGGGGCGGGACCGCGGCGCAAGCGCCGGAAGCGGGGAGGCGACGAAGGCACGTCGCGTCGCCGCGCCGGGTCTCGAGC